CATAGTGTATGAATGCGTTACCGTTCCCATCGGTGATGCAATGCTTATCGGACAAGCAGCTCCGTCACAACACAGATGAGGCCTCCCTGACTGGATTGCACAGTCAGGTCCTTCCCAACTCACGACTAGTTTCAGTCACACTGTTTCTGGTTCTGAAACATTGCTCATCCTGACCACCTCATTAGTAAACTGAATGTATTGAATCATGCCTGTCTCAGATGTTTCAGCTGCCACTGATTAGAGCTGATGTGTTTGTTTCAGAGTCCAGGCAACCAGATGGTAAATTCCATTTGATTAGTTTCTTATTTTGAAAAGAGTGGGAGTTAGTCTGTAGGCTTGTCTGCTTGGCAGCATTGTTATATGAGCAGGTGGATCTTGTGTTTCTGTCTGCTCAGCATGTCCGTCCTCCTGGCTTTAGTATTTTTCTGTCAGGGAAAAAATGTTTGTTTTTGGTATTTGATTTGTAGAATCTGGCCGGTTGTCATTAGGGAATGTTTATGCACTTTTATTGTGTGCCAGATATTTTGGCAGCATGCTAATTGATTTATTGGAAGTGCTAAAAGTGATGCAAGAACTTCCTGTTGGTTGTTGTTTCAAAGGCTGTTACCAGTCAAAATGGCTTGAAGCTAATATCAAAGAAACATTTCCACCTGTGCTTTAATTTGTATTCAAATGGAAATGGTTCTGTTTAAGGAACAAAGAGCAGAGATAAGGAGTGAAAAAGGAAAGTGAACTCAGTTCTTACAAAGCAGCCAAAGGTTTCTTTTGTATGAGAGGTAATGCTAAAGTCTGGCCTGACTAAGTGTACTTTTTATTAGATAAAAATGAAAGCACTTTATTTCAGATGTCTCACGTCCATTATTTTTCCATTTCTTGTGAAAGATGTTGGCTACAGCACAGCAGAAAAGTAGTGAATCATAAACCAAACAATACATCCACATTTTCATGGGAAATGTTGACACCAGGAGACTTGGTTGGTTTTAGGGCTGGGCAACAAATCGAAAATTTATTGTTATCAAAATTTCTGACTCTAACCAATCAAAATGATCCCATGTCAATAAATGTGGTTATAAAAACAATGAAAAGATGTGTGTAGGTTGGTCTAGTGGAAAAAAGTGGTTACTACAGCATTAACATATAAAGAAAGCTTTGATTGATTGATTGATTGATAACTTATTTGCACTTCCTGTAAAATCTTTCAAAGTAAAACATTCCACATAAATATTACTACGATTCTTAAATTATTGTTAACAGCATAGTTAGTCTACGGGCGTTTCTCAATGTCAAGGCGCCTTGCTTACGAGGACAATGCCCATCCTTGGTTAAAGAAAACGGTTGAATGGAACTGACTTATGTCACGTGACCACAGCTCAGAGCAGCGGTCACGTCACGTCGCGTGGTACGTAAGGTAAAGTTATATTTTATAAGTGTTCAGTAGATGTATAACGAGCCTTTCACTTTTTTGATATGTATATATCTGGTAAATCTAATGTGTACGCAAGTTAGTACCTGCTAGCCACCAAAGCTGTAACTACTAAGCAACTAACCAACTTCTTTGGGTCTAAGAAACATTTCAGATATCAGCTCGATAGCTACAATTAGTTGACTTACATTCATACAGGAAATTTGCCTCTGAAGTGGCTGCTTCTAATTTGGTATTTGGTAATAAAAACAATGAAAAGATGTGTGTAGGTTGGCGACGTTCCTGTCCCGTTAAGGAGCTGTACCACCTCGAGTTACATGACAACGTGACTCAACCTTGTACAAGTGACAGCGCCATTTAGTGGCCAACTTTTGTTTTTGCGCACATGTAGTTATCATCCATTTATCGTTTTCAAGGTGAAATCCTCAATATCCCGTGATATTGATTTTAGGCTATATCGCCCAGCCCTAGTTAGTTTATATTTTCTTATTGATGAGTCAGCATTGCTCTTACTACAGCAAAACACCTGCGTGAGTTCTCAGGTTGCAGCCCGGCAGTTGTCTTCCAATTGCTACAAAACCAAATATTTCACCTACTTGTTTAATTTGTTGTCTTAATGTTGGTGGACTGTCTGAATATATAACAACCTCCTCCACAGACCTTAAAAGAAGCTCGAAGCCTGCTTGTTAGGGAAATGAAGGAATGTTTGGACTCAAAACAAATTCTTTGCCATCAAAACAAAATTGGGAGCAGAAAAACTTTTAAATCCTACTGAAACTCAAAACTTGAAGCAGCAGCAGTTTCTTTTTTAGGACTGATAATCCTTTTCTGGTTACCATTGCTGTTAGCAAGATTGAAAAAAATATATTTAAATGTCATATGTTTGTTGGTGCTAAAAAACGGCTGATGTATTGGGATTTTCATCCAAAATCATCTCCAGGGTTCAGATAGAATTACACAGAAATGAGAAAACCCAGTGAGCAGCAGATGAAAATGTCTCTGGGCTTCACACTGAACCTTGAAGCAGATGGACTACATCTGCAGAAGAACACACAAGGTGTCACTCCTATTAGAAAAGGAAACTGAGGCTACAATTCACACATCATTATGTAACATCCAGCAATGATCAGTTTTTAGGTACTGTTTGACCATTCAACATCTGGTCAAAAAGGAGACATGAGACTGCATGTGTCCCCTCTAAATCAGCCTGCCTTCATCCCACCAGCTGGAGCTCAGAGCCTCTCTGCAGCTCTAAACACAGATAACGAAGTGTCAATAACAATGCTCCTCAAGGTCCAATCTTTCAGGACTCTTCATGCCTCCATATAAGGAACACTCGCAGCCCGGATTTCCTACATCAGATATGAACTTCTATAACTTATAAGCTAGATAATCATTAAATAAACATTTGTTTATTGCTACTTATAATAATTATAAAATAATGAAATGTTTCATTAATCTGTGCTCAATGATTGAAGTTTGAAATGAATGTTATGTTGTGATTACAGTGATTGAAAAATGTTTCAGCATGTTGATGACAAGGTCATCACCATTTGCACTCACACAAGGACAAAGTAAAGTTAAGTTAAACTCATGACACATAGGTAGTCCTTTTCCCCAGATCAGAGCATTGCTATCAAGGAAGGCGTGTTTCTGAGATTCTTGGTAATATTCCTCAAACTTGTCAACCTCTGGTTGGCTACACAATCATAACATGAGAACATTAAAACCAGATTACTCGGGGTTTTCCCTCAGTTCTAGAGAAAGCTTCAGACCGGCCATTTGAAGCAACACCCTCTTTAACCATCGAAGCTTTTGACACGTCGTCAAAACCTTTTGCACCTGCAAAGCTGATACAGCAAACAGTTCCTGCAGAACAAGCTGATATTGTTTAGACTCATTCAGAGTCCCAGACGCGCTGTTCCATCCGTCTGTCATGACCCGAGACATCTCTGGACTGGAGAAGTTGGTGCTGTGGTCAATCTACTGGATCTTCGGTGCCAGAGGTCATCCGACCTCTCTGACCTTCGGATCCACCAAGAGGGTCTCCAAAAACGGGCAAAGTAGACACACAGATAGTGTCTGATGTGCTTGTGATAATAATCAACTTCATAGCTTAACACAAACCAAATTCTTTTACATCCAGAACTCAGCTCTCCTAGATACGAAAGTTCTGACTAACATCGCATTCACACATAGGTTTCATACATCACATTTAGTTCCATCCATCACAGTAAACGTGAGTTCACTTGTCATGTTTTAATTGTTGGTAAAATAAATTCTTTATTTTAGAAACCTGAATGTTTTCTGAATCAAAACGAAGTGTGTACAATCCCCTAATAAAGAAAGAAACCTAGAATCTTTTGATTAACACCGTAAAGACCAAGCAGGTTGATATTCTATATTTAGATAGAGTATCACAGCTTATTGGTCATAAGTAGAGGTAATATATTTATTGAGCTCTTAAAGCACTCAATTTACCAAACCCTACAGCCAGAACAGACCAAGAGATTTAGAGGGTTGGATGGTATCCACCCTACCTTGTGTCAATAGTGCAGACAGGTTGTGGTGTAATGGTGGTGGTGGTGGGGGTTCTTTACACACATTAGGCCCTGCAGCACCCTATACCTATAAGATGACCAAGGCAATCTCTTTGTGACCACAGTGGACCCATAAGTCCTTTTTAGAAGACAAACCATGCTGGCAAATCAGCGTTGCCATGGCATATCTTATGAACGTGCCGTGGTGGCATGGCATAGCAGGAATTTTGCAGCATTCGTGCCACCACGTAATTTTGCCACAATGCCTGACTTGTGAATTCATTTTACACCTTGGCACAAAAAGGGAGGTGTCATGGTCACGTGGGGAGTTACTACTGAGCTTCGGCTAGCAACTATTTGAAAATGAAAGTAAATACAGGCCGTAAGTTTTGCTTTTGTAATCAGAATCAGCTGAGATGATAAACTACAGCGATGCAGAGCTCCAGGGGCTTCGCTCTGTTAGAGCTGGAGCTCACATGACCAGAAGTTGCACAGGGACTGTGGAGGACAGACACCTTTAGGAGCGGCTTGTTAAAAAAACTTAATGAGCGCAGCTTCGATTGCAATAAAAAGCAAGTTATGTCAAAGATAATGGAAGTCCGCAGAAGCGCAGAGACCACCCCCATACCCCCTTTATACCACCATCACATAATCTTTGTGAGAAGGACACGGTGGCACCACATTACCGCCCCGGTCTGACCACTCATTAACAACCTAAGGCTCCCTGATGCTGGCTCAACGTTGAGGCAAATTGGTGGCATTTTTTTCTAAAAGAAGCTGTATTCTAATGGCTATTTCCAGCAGGAAAATGCACAATGTTACAAATCTCAGATCATCTCTACTTGGTGTCTTGAATAATGACTTTCCTAGACTCCTGTCGCCACAGTCACCAGAACCTTTGGGGTGTGGTGGAACAGGAGATTCACATCGTGGATGTAACTGTGTAATGCTTTCATGAAAACATGGACCAGAGAACATTAAGAATGAAGAAAGAATTTCTGAGTCTATGAGGCTCATGCTGGCTGAATCTCCTAAAGCAACTGGACCTCATTCCCTGGTTCATTTATTCCCAGGTGAGGGTTGAACAGGACACACCAGAAGCAGACTGGCAAATCGTGAGTTCTGGAGAATCCCAGAACGTCCGGTGTCCTCCAGGGCCAGTGGGTGTTCTCCTGGCCATCGAATGTGACACAGGTCAGCATTCTGTAATTAGACAAATTATCGAACAAAGGATGACGTGGCCTGGGAATGTATTTATGTGAGGATAACCGTGGACTTATTCAAGTTAAGACAGATCTTACCATGCATGTGTCAGTATGCTTAAATTAGCATTTAGCTTGTTGTACGATTTATCATACCACAATAAAATGACAACATCAGCGATTTTCCTGTATTATTTGTCTTCATAGTTCAGATTTGAAGTTTCGTCTAAGCTAGCTGCAGGATGTTCTACAGTCTACGATGTGAATCGCTTCTGGCTGCTGGAAGACAAAAACCGGGCTTTAAAGCATGAAGTTGCCTCTCTTCGACAAGAGAAACAGTACTACAGAAAACTGGTATCTCTGCTTTTTAAATTCCTTTAAGTTCAGTCACTGTCTTCACATTAACACACACTTCAAGAGTTTATGCAAACTGGTTTGCTGCTTATTTACTGATATATCTTGAAGTTCAGATGCAGCGTTCCCTCTACTCTCTGATTCTGCTTTTGTTTTTTAAAAAGGCACGTTATGCAAAACTCACCTTTTCATCCATTTGCACTGCCATTTGGGTCTCTACTGCTTCTACAAACACTCCAAACAAGAATAAAATATTTTATTGTTTGGTTTAAGGAATTATGTGTCCACAAAAGCTGTTTGAAAAAGTCCCCATTTGTGATGTCACAAACCAGGAAAGCAGAAATGAACCAACTCTAACGTGCAAGAAAGAGCTGCTGTTGCAGGAGCAGCAGCTCTTTTCTGAGCCCTTCCCTGATATCAGAGCTTCTCAGCTTACAGTAGCCTAAGTAGCTTGTTTTCTGTGACAGTGACCTAAAATAGCTACTTCTGGAAACTGTCAAGAAGAAAACTGCGGAAACTGCTTTGTGTAAGAGGGATTTGGTGCAAAGCACTTCATGAACATGGTTTGCACACATGACAGGACTATTAAAACTTAAAGGCATTTTCCACCCCTAAGTAAAGTTTAGTCTGTTACCATATTTCCCATAGTAAGATAAAACAATTAGTAAGTTATTGGTAACAACTAGCCCTGCGTGGAAAAAGTAATTAAACTGACTAAATAGTAAGTAAGTAAATTTTATTTATATAGCACTTATCGCAGACATAGAATCTCAAAGTGCTTCAGATCAAAACAAAATACACCATAAAGTCATTAAATCATAATGATCTCAAAACAGAAATAGATTAACAAAAAAAATAAAGCCACAAAATTATTAAATGTCATAAGCAGATGAAAGATTATAAATTTGAGTTATTGTCACTATTGAGTAATTTTAATGGATTTTTCCATTGAAGGTGTTGGGGTTATTAGGAAGCGAATAATTTGTAAGCTTTTGCTTACTTTTGGATTCTTCAATAAATTCTGTAAATATGGGAATATTTACGGATGTATTGATTAATTAAGATACAATTAGGTATCTTCGGGGCACCATTCCCCTTTTAACCGGGGAAAAATTGAATCCAAACCCTTATCAGTCTTTCTTAAAGTTCGTGGAATCTTCTAGGAGCAGAGATTTTCACACCAACACAAGCAAGTCAAGGGAGGCAAAATCTGAATTTTATAACATTTAATTACACAAGGGATAATAATGTAAGACAATTTGATATAAATGGAGATGTGTGTGTGTATGTGTAATCAAATGTGCGTGTGAATGAATGCTTTGTTTTCCCAGAGCAGGTGCGTGCGGGGGGGGGGGGGGGGGGAGTGTGTCCTTGAGATGTGTGAGCTGTAACTTTTTCTCTCTCAGATGCAGACAACAGAATTAGCTTGCTCTTAGTGACTTAAAATTACAGTTAAACTGAACTTAACCACTTCAAAAGTTAACAAACAACAAAGATCACTCGTAAATTATTTAATCTAAAAGAGAAGTCGACCAGCCTGGCCACAGCTGACGACTAAAGATATTTAAATAATAAACAAACAGACCTTACTTCACGGTGGAGATATGACGTATTTGGTTACGAAAAAGAGAAAAACCGGAGCTACTTTTAAACGATCCGCGGTGATCGCTTATTTTGGTCTAGAAGAACGGGAAAGATAAGAGTAAAAATGAAATAAACTTGCATGAGCAAAACCCTCTCTGAGCGAAGCAAAGGCGTCCCTTTGAAGTTCGCTGGTCAGATGTGATTTTACGCTTCTCCTCCGCAGTTCTGCGTCTTCCACTTTAGTGTCTCTCCGTCGGTCTGATGGAGTTGCTTTCCAGCGGCTCGGTGTTCGCACTCTTCAAGCCCCCAGGCCTCGTGCACACGTTATCCGGAGCCGTAGTCAGCGATCGTGTCCTTCACGCCAGTACAACTGGTACAAAAGAACCCTAAGTTTCGTTTTTCGCTGAAATTTATAGTTTTGAGCTGGTTGTTGTGGGTTCGTGCTCCGCCTTGGCGGTGACGTCATCACATTGCTTCCGTGTGCAAAGCATCATGGGAAATGAAGTGTCTCTGGCGCTGATGATGGAATATGCTCTTTCAGAGCAACTTAACACAGTTTTTTTTAGAGAAAATCACTGCACAGTAATTTCCTCATGAGGGCAGACCCTCAACAAAGCCTAGTTGTTACCATTCACTTACATTGTTTTACACTAAGCTAAATCTAAAGGAGTACTGTCTGTTCAGGAGAGTGACTGGGCTAGTTACAGATTGTTTATGTCTACTTATCTAACTATGGGGAATATGTTAACAAACACAAGACACGCTGTTGTCTTGGCAACATATTTGGGAAAGTGTGGACAGACGCATATTCAGAGAGGAACTGACAGAGCTTTTTAGTTGCTGCTGTTTTCAACCTTGTGCACTTTATATTATATTTAGTTTAACACAGCAATGCATGAGCAAATTTCACTGACAGTTTCAGTGCAGGTTAAGGAATCTGCACGGTGTAAATGTTTATTCAAACTGATAGCTTTCCATTCGTGAAATTCCATTTTTCCACTTTAACTCCCCCTTTTTAGCTCTATATGGAACTGTAATTTTTTTCTCAATTTAAAGTCAGCAACCCATTTTATTAATAATGGCACAGTTCATGGCTGCCTGGTAGATTTAGGAGACCTTTTTGTTCGTTACCCTAGCTAACATGCACAACAGCAACCTGCATCTCTATCTTTTTTCCCAGGATGGGAGTTACAGTTCAGAGACAGTCTAAATGGGTTCCTGGCAGACTTCTTGCTCTGACTGCTGACAGCTTTACTCACACAGACTGCATCATTCTTATTTATGCAAAGCCAGACTCAGCTATGGATCAGTTAGGCTGAGAGAAACTCAGATATAGAACCTATTTTATTCCAACATATTTGTTTAAGCAGATGTGGTTTGTGGGTGCATATTTTTTTGGGGGCATTGGAAGAACAAAATAAAAAAAAACTGCTTAAATATGAGAGTTTTGGGTTTAAGAATTAGTTTTAAACTTTGAATTTGTTCATTTGAACATGTACAATAATTCACATAATGTATGCTAATCTGAAAACATTTGTTTATATCTCAGCTTGTTTTGAAATATAAAAATACAGCTGGTCAAGGGTGAAGGTCAAAACATGTCTTACGAATTTAAAATTGGACACATCCAAACAAAACCTGTTTACACAGCTGATTAAACACCTTTTTAAATTTTTACCCTTAATGCTGGGGTCAACCATTATTTGGAGCACACTTTAGTCTCTAAAGCGCATTGGAGCTTGCATTGAATAAAAAAAATGATCAAAAATATTTTTCAATACTTTGAGCAAAAGGTAAATTTAATGTTATTGTATATTTTACATTATAATTCACTGGCTTAGAGAAAAACTGTTGCTAATTAAAAATTTCCACTTCATTCATGGTAAGGATATTAAATAGTTATACTAATTTTGTTTGTAGTTCATAAACCTACAATTCACCAATTTGAAGTCTAATCTTTTTGTCCGTATTGTTTGTGTCTAATGAAGGAGTCTACAGGAGTCAAGAGGCTTACTGAGAACACAGAACTTGGTGCTGAAGAAAGTTTTGATAATGAAAACTAAAATCTGACAGGGCAGCAAGAAGTAACCTTTAAACAGTTGATGTACAAAGAAAATAATAAACATTAAGAGGCCAACAATAAAAAATAAAAAATACCCACAACAACCAGAGATGCAGCCAGCAACAGTTAATATCTATCTATCTATATCTATCTATCTATATCTATATCTATATCTATCTATATATATCTATATATGTATATATCTATATATCTATATATATATGACAATGAGCTAAACAACCAGAGGCTTTTTCAACTGCTGAGAAGGTGATTGCTGACAGGCTGCAGCTGGGCTAATGATGGATGGCTAGCAGGTGTGTGAAAAGCAGAGTAAACTGAGGGAAAACAATGAACAATGATCAGGGGAACTAAAGAACTTGAGGAAAGCAAAATAAAGTAAACAAATGAAAAAACTCGAGAGCTGCAGAACCTTAATGATAAAACAATATCATGACCAAGGCAACTGAAATAAAAGAAGATGCAACCCCAAATGCTGAAAGGAAAAGGAAACAACCTGCTGAAGTCGTGACACTTAGATTTTTATGAGTCAGTTTCTGTTTCATAGATTCAGTCACTTATTACTGTCTTGATGAAAAAAGCAGAATATAGATAAATCACACTGTCCTAAAATAATGAGTCATCACGTTTTGTCTTTTTTGGACAATTATGTGTGTATGTGTGTATAGGAGAGTTTATTTTTATATATACACAATATATATATATATACAATAACAAAGAAAAATAAATATGGTTGTAATAGTTTGTATTTGTCCAAATGATGATGACGAACGTTTTCAACTTCAATTTATCAATTGGTGCTAAACATACAGTTATACAGATAATGTCAGCTGTTTAGACCTTTGGACTGGTTGCCTAGGAACCATCTAAAACGAACAGCCAGAGAAAGGTACCCCAGGTGAAGAATGACCTTCTCTGTGTTGTGTGGCTGCTGCTAAAAGGTCACAGCTGTCTCCCTGGACACCATTCCTATGGCAACAATTATTCACTGCTAGCAGCTGGTCCACTCAGGTGATAGCCCTCATGATGAAATGGGCCATCCCAGTACAAAGATGAGAAACATCCAATAAATAATCCCTAATAGCTGCATCGTCCCCACTCCTCCGTATCTGTCATTTTAGGCTTGTCTAATCAGAAATGCAGGCTAGGGTCAATAATAGTACAGGATAATGTTTAAATGTTTATTCACCTTAAAAGGTGTAAATTATGCTTAAAAAATCCCTTATGATTTAATTGATCTTTTATGATATTCTGTAGATATTCAATTTAGTTATTCTTTTTTCTTCATGAGAAGTCAACAGGTTAAAACTAAAAAAAATGGAAATATAGTGCAAGGTCCATCAATTTTAGTAATTAAACGTAGACCCAGAAACCATGTAAAGGCGCAGAAACCCATGGCAAGTGTTTTGGATTCATTAGATGGTTAGACTGTGACACTTTGAGTCTAGAATATTGAACCATTTCACACTATTCTTGCCTGATATTTAGAGTTTGGGGTTTTCATAAGCTAAAAGCCATAATCATCACAATTATAACAAACAAAGGCTTTGGATGTGTGAGTCTATCTCATATATTAGTTTCATTTTAAGTTGAGTTACTGACACAATGAACATTTGCACTATATTCTATGTTGCAGAGCAAACTGAGTCAGACGTGCAGTTGCATTGCTGTTATCCAATCAGAGGTGAGATGTCTAAATATCAGAATAGAAGAAACAGTGTACAAGGTATTCATTCCTGCTAGAGACAACTGCAAATTTATTGATTATTAAAAATTCTGTCAAAATCCTATTGCTCTCGAGCTGATACGAAACATTACGGCACAGAGGTGTGTGTGTGTGTGTGTGTGTGTTTTCTTGCAGTAGAAGTCAGTCAGCTACTTGTCGTTTTAATCATTTACGCAGAGACAGAGAGGCTGTCTTGCCTGGCCTGTGCATCTTCAAGTCTGCATTAACCAAAGCAGATCTGAAATATAACGGAGAGAATCAGGCCTGGCTTAGATTAAATCCAGATCTTCTAAGATTTCATCCCATAGATATATTTTAAAATGAATTTCTTCCTCATGAGTGGACTTCATGTGAAGAGTAAAGCTAATATACTTCTAGGCTTTTGATGATTATTATGTTTTTCACTTAGTAGATCTGAAGCGGATTTTTTTGTCTTTATGATCCTAGGAGCAAAAGTACAACTGTATTTAGGGACACTCAAAACAACAATAAGATTAATATTTAATGATAAAGACGGGAATCTAAAACTAAACCAGTACTGGCTGTAAGACGTACAACTAAAAAATGCTGTTGAAAATGAACTATGGTGATATTAATAATCTGTAAAAACTTCTAAACATTCCCAGAGTTTTAAGCTGCAGCAGTAGAACAATAATTAGCAGCAATTGAGTTAATGTGAATATATGAGACTCTTATTGTGAAGGACTGAAGGAAGTTATGATAGTTTTGTTGATATTGTGGGAGTAAAATTTGCTCCTCACATTGTAGAAAATGCTGTCCTTATCTGTAGTGTGTTAAGCAAAAACCTGCCAAATAATTAGATTATAATAAAACATTTACCTGCTACTGAACCAAACACTTTTGTCCTCTGAAGCTTCTTTTGACTATTCTTGAAAAATCCATCTTTGAACTGCTTTCTTAACACTTAGATACTTTTATTGACATGACATAAACTTTTATTGATGAGGTTTTGATTTGAAATCGATTTTTTATTTTAAAATTTTTTTTGGTAACACTTCACAATAAGGGTTCCTTTATTAACATTGCTTAATGCATTGATATGCATTAATAAACTATTAACTAAAGTGTTAACAAATGCTTAATAGTAATGTTAATATAGAATAATATATTACTAAGCAGACCCACCACAGCTTTTCATGTTTCACAGTTTCAACCTGTGTAAACGGTCTTTTTGCCAACCATCATGGCAAATGGGGCGGTCCCATGAGTGGCGTGACGTCACAAGGAAAGGGTCAATTGGAGCTACTGTTGTGGCCGGTCGCCATTTTAGATGGGTCTCCATTCGCCCCCAGTGCATTAATTTCTACTGAGGAAGGTGCTTACTCAACAAAAAAACACACTTTATCAAGCTTAAAATAAGACACAAGGCATGGCATGATAATTAAAATATAAATATAATACAATAAAATACATAAAATTAATTTCAATGTAAAATTCTGTCTGGTAGACTAGAAAAGTCACTAGTAATCCCACGTGATCTGTTTTTAATAGAACGCCGGTTGCTCACGGGCATAGTTGCTCACCCTGCGTTTACTTTGGAGAGTGAGGAGACCCATCCAATATGGCAGCAACACTGTAACACTCTCCAGGGCATGTCTACGTGTTTGTGTATTCATGACTTTGCTGCTGTATGACATTTTTACAAGATAATTTGTATCTACTCATTTCAAGCTCAAAAAGCACCACACTTGTGTGCAAGTGATTACTCACATACCAATACCCTGGTATTATATTTTTACATTTTTTATAGTTTTTGTTTTTGTGAAGCGCCTCGTGATTTTTATCTTGAGAGGTGCTATAGAAATGATATTTTCTTCTTCTTCTTCTTAAAAAAGATATACCAAAGATATAACATCACCATCCACGTAAACAAGTTACCTAGATTGTAGTATCTCACGATACTGGAAGAAAAATCCATGAATTTGAACAAAAATGTATTCATAAAAATATCTTTAAATGAAAAATAAAAGTTATTTTTCATAAACAAACAGATTAAAATGTTCAAAAACAAAACTGAAATCAAAGTTTTTAGGTGCTACATTGTCTCACTTTTGGGAAAAAATGCTGTGTTGAAAATAAAAGTGCTAAAATAAAACACTGCCAAAATGTAGGACCCTGTTGGATTAATTTTAAACCCCTTTGACTGGATTAATTCATTTTAGGGGGTAACTGTGATATAACCACGCTCACACATACATAAAAAGATTTGCATGAGTCACTGCATGTAAGCTGATGTCAGTATGATATAATTACTCTCAGTGACAAAGCAGTGTAGGAAGTGTGATCACAAGTGTGTGTCATGTTGTAGTTAATAGCTAAAATCTATGAGTTAGAAAAATAAATAAAGGGTTTTAAGGCCATTGTTTCCAAATTGTTTCACCTGTCGCTAAATGGTGAAATGCAGGCAATTATGTTATATTTTCAGATGCAGTGAAAACTCTGATGAAGGCGCTGGTGAGAGTCAAAACGACAAAAACAAGCTTTATTTACTCTGTGCTATCCAGCATGTTTTAGTTGTTTTCCTGCTCCATTCCTGCTGATTAACAGGCTTCTGCTCAGTTTGATGAACTGCTGAGCAAGTGATTCAACCACTAAATCAAATGTGGTAGAGGCATGGATGTAGTTTTGGAGGAGGGGGGTGGGGTGCATGACCTCCCTCACTTTTTCCAAAGTCGATTTTCGTCCCCTGCACTTTTTACCATCCAAAAACAACATTACGTTACATTTAACAGACACTGGTGGAGCACTCGGACCAAGTAGAAAACAACTGCTTGTGTTGAAGCCGTTGTATACTTACTGTAAAGATTACCCTCCCGGTCCTCATGCCAGTTGTGCCCCCCCACCCCCCACTTCTAAAGTCAAAATTACATCCATGGGTGCAGCAGAGAAACAACTAAAACATGCTCGATACTGGCCCTTGAGGACCAGGATTGGGCACCACTGCTCTGTAATCAGTTCAATAGATTCAAGATGGCCACTACAGCTCATCAACCTCTAGCTTGTATTACAGTTCTCCATCGGCTCGAGTACAGAGATGTACATGTATCTAAAGAAAAGCTTTCCTAATAGACTTCTACATCTGGGGAGTGGATTTCATGTGGTCCGGTCCGGGGTTTGTGTGTGTCTGGGGGCCGGAAAGAGGAGGCTCGCGGGCCTCTTTTGGGCTGCCCATTGAGTACCACTGATAGAGTAACTCTAAATGAAACACGTTAGAGCATTTTGTTAAATTGGCTTCTATCTACTGCAGGTAAGATACTGATTAACCATAATATGTCACACAATTGAAAGTGTGCTTTCAATTTCTCAAAATGTATTGAATTCTGATTTATTTCAGCATTCAGACATATTGGTCAATGTAATTGCATACTGGCTTTATACATAGTTTCTACAAGTTGCATTTTAACAAGTATTGTACTCCATTCCTTGATCTTTTCAGCATTGTTTTCTATGTATGTTCATTCAGTTCTAAATTAAGACCACAGAGAAGAGGATGCATGAAGCAGAGGCAGAATCCCTCTATTGAACAATCTGTACTGTCCAGAATCCAAGATGTCTATCTCTTTTCCACCTAACTGTGACCCTCTGATGTAGCTGATATTTGTAGCAGTGGAGCTGGTTGATTAATTCAACAGAGTGGATTTATGCAGCTTCCTTCTCCACAGAGGGGGGTTGGGGGGGGGGGGGGTAGAGAGAGAGAGAGAGAAAGGGGAGACTGAGCAGAGGAGAGAGAAAGTGTGTACAAGAAAAGGAGAAAATGACAGTGGACCGGTGTTAAGTAGGGGAGGGTCTTTGGGGGTAGGGAGAGAGTGGATAGGAAAGAGAGTGTGTGGAGAGGGGGCGGAGGGACAAGAGGAGGAGGAGAGAGAGTGAGCAAGGAAGAGAGACAGGCCCCAGAGCTGCTGCTGCTGCTGCTGCTGCTGATGCTGATGCTGCTGCAGCCGTTTGATGATTCCCCACCCATACAGAGCACGGAAGAAGGAAAGAGACTACAGCAAGGAGGAGGAAGGAGTAAGCGACACCTCAGCAAAGATGCTCCTGTGCTAGCCAACACACACGGTAAATACTGTCATCACCACTCTGCTGTTTGTCTCTGTGTTTGATTTAGCTCTGTTGAGTCCTATATATAGTGCTGAGGGTTAGCATAGCCAAGCAGCTGGGGAAAACCTGTCTGTGCAGTTGCTGCAGGAGGAGACAGATGTGCACAGCGAGGTGGAAAAGGAAAGCAGGGCTGGCACATTTAGTCTCTTCTGGAACTAAATAATGAGAAAGCAACAACCAGCTTTGCTGTTTCTTGACTGAAGTAGAGCCACCTGTTCAGAGATGTGTGGGTGTGAGTAGTGTGTCTCTCTCTCTCTCTCTCTGTGTGTGTGTGTGTGTGTGTGTGTGTGTGTGTAGGGATGAGGGGTGGGGTTATAGTGTACGAGTCTGGTAGTTTCATTTATGTCTCAGTTCTGTACAAATGCAAATGCTTGGAGGGATTTCTATGGTTCTATTAGGTTAATTTAGCAAGTTGAAGAGTGTCATAATGGATGATTTTTTTTATTTTAATAAAGTACTTAGATGAAAATCAGCTCACCTGTTCACGTAGGGACCTGGTGGGAAAGACGAACGTGGTGCTTAGTCAAACAAATTGACATTGTGTGAATCTACGTGTGTGCTTTGACGTTATCGGCTCTGGTAACCCGAGCCTTTTCTGGTTGCTAAATGCTAAAGGGGTTGCCAGGTGTCGGTGATGAACATTAACTCACTCATGTCTGATTGATGATATCCTCACCGGTTGTGTGTTCGTGCACATGGCACACCTAAGATCTAGTCAATGCTCAGTTTCAGAAAAGGTGATGATTCATTTGCGTGATATTTTGGGTGTTGCTCTATAGGAAAGAGTATTTGCCTGCAAAAACCATTTTAATCCACAACATGTATATGATTTCATTTGCTTTTCCATCTGTTCTGTTGCAGCATTCGTGGATGTAAAACTTAAACTAAGTCAATGTAAAATGTGTGAAGCACCGGTGTCAAAGTGCTTTTTATTACTTTGAATTGGTTAATTTCTATCGGACATGAAAATGTTACGCATGCTTCTTGAGCAGTCCAAAATAAATCCTTACGTTTGCAAACTTAACAGTCAAGTTTCAGGAGATTTGCATCCAACAAAACCTTTTTCAGACACTGCTAAGATGCTGGAAGTAGCAGAATAAAGTGTAAATGTTTATATATTTATATTTTTCTGTATAGTCAGGGCACACATGTCCCGGAGATACATATGTTTGAATGCAAGGCTGTGTGGGTGGGTGGCATGACATAGGAGAAATGCTGTATGGCAGCAAAGATGGATAAGAGTATAGCGTGCACCGTCAACTCCATGTTTCATTCTGTCCCTTTTTGTGCTCTGTGAAGATATCACATGCGGGTTTTAAAATTTTTTCATCCTACTGTCTTAATTCGGTTCCTCCAGCAGTCTTCACTCACCCTAGTTTCTTCCTTATTCCTCTCCTTCATCCACATGCATCATACCGGTTGGCTGTGCTAACAGCTTTTCAGTTGGAGGCTAGAGGGCAAAAACAGGAGAGATGTGGGGATTGTAACATGTGTTTTCAGTCTCATGACTCAATTTGTCTCCTGCTCTTCTTTTAAGGCTAAAAAAGTACCTGGTGGTAAAGGTAGACCCCAACATGTGGGTGCTGCAATAATCTTTACAGCAACACCTTAGAGGTGACTTACAGCACCTTTCCAATAGTCCCATACATAGTTTGTATACTTGAACTAATGGGATGGCTTTCATAGACAAAGTACAGGAGGATAAAGCTTCAAACATCAATATTAATTCCAGCTACAGAACTATTTATTGCAGATGTGGTTACTATTTTTTTATTGGGGTGCCAGTGAAAAAGCATTGGAGCAGCTTTATCAACCAAACTTTTCACTCATTTGCATGCCCCGCATCTTTGAAATTTTTTTTATATGTGGTTGAATTGTGAAGCAATTTGCTAAAAATGTCAAGAAATTTCCTCAATAACACCAGTAGGATTTGGGTGAAATAGGGGAGAAAATTTAGCCCTCATTGAAGCTTAATAGCAAGGCAGTAAAACCACCAGTCAACATTTAAACAGAGCATTGAGCTTCACATGGCTGAATATTAAAGGGGACATATTATACCTGTTACGTACCCAAAGGTCAAGTATTCACATAAAAATGACCAAAAATTAACTTTTAGTTTGCAGACTCAAACTCCGTCACACATCCAGGGATGCATTACATCTGTCTGGACTCCAAACAAGAAACGCAAGGATCTACGACTTGCAACCAAATAAGTTAGCCATAATAAGTGCTCTCCTTATCTTGGCTGGAACCAAAGTCATGCAGAAGACAGACCTTCTGCACTCTCACTCTGAATAAAGTTCATCTTGAATCATAAATGACTTTTTAAAACTTTAAAATTACAAGTGTCATATAGTCATCTCTTGTTAAATCCCAAAGTGTTTGAATAATCTGTGCAATAATCAATGATGTTAAATTGAATATGTTTCCTGCAATTATTCATTTGAGATCTTAAACTACACCAGAGTAGTATTTGTTGATTTAACAAGCTAATCTATCAGTATACACATACATCTTAAGATTAATATTAAGGCTTTAGCATTTACTTCACATAAATGTGTAAAAAACATTTCCACTTCACACTAAGAGTTAACCTCAGAATATCTGAGTGAAGGAGTGACTTTCTGAGGCCTTTGTTAGCCCCCCCAACGTGTCTGTCTGATTTTATAAACAATAAAGTTAATAAATGCGAGAACACTTCCTGATCAAGTTAGTCTTTGACGTTCACTCAATGAGGCCACTTGAGTGAACAAGCATTTTGAGATCATCCAGTCTTTTGACCCCAAGGTCAAGGCCTCTCTGCAACACCTGCGAGTGATTTCAGACACAACAGCTCTTGTAAGAGCCAGTCAACACCTCAGACAGACATCTAACCTGCAGACCCTGGTTGCATCTCATGGCCGGTGAAAACTGAATTCAAAGGGAGCTACGACTCTTTGGGTTCTCGAAATCTCATCGTCTGGTGAACTCACCACTCGGGCTGCCTTTCCTCCGGACCGCCAGGCGCGACAGACACACAAGGGTATCGTAGACTCTGCACACTGGCATCGGATGGTTTTAGACTAAATAAAGTTTAGCTTATCAAACCATACAGCCAAATTGATTTTACAACCGAGACTTCACAAGCTCAATCTCAGATACTCACAAAGTTCTGCTAAAACATCTTGCTTCCAATCATTACTTCATTCATCATCTGTTATCTATACAACCATTATTTCATTCATACTTTGTCATGTACAATCATTTAGTTTAGGAAAATAGAATTTAAATAATTTTTATAACTATATTCTTGACTCTGAATTAATTTGAAGTGTGTGTTCCCTGAATAAGTCAAAGAAACTGAAGTCTTCCGATTAAACATTCAAATACCAATCAGATTGATATTTCAAATTTATATGGAACATCACATTTTATAGATCATTTAATATATATGTAGTCAATCCTTGACGCTACATATCTTTTATTAAACAATTTATAATAGCTCTATAGTTGATATGAAACATGGTCATGAAGTTCTTTGCACAAAATCCCTCTCACAAAGCTATTTCACCAACCCTGTACTCGACAGTTTCAGAACCTTACAGTAAAACCCAGTTCAGGACTCCGTCACTTTAAGGACAACAAGCTGTTGCTGACCACGTCCACCCATTCCCTGATTGGCTGTTGTGAGGTGAAAGGCTTAGGTATCTGAGAGAGGCTAAAGGTTGGTTTATGCTTGACGCGTCTGCGAGGTTCGCACGGCTCCGCGTGGCAAAATTGCGTCATTTTAACAACCATGCCTCTCCACCGCGCCTCCGCACGGCCCAAACTTGCCGCACCTAGAAAATTTTCTAACCACACGGATGGTCGGACGCGGAAAAACATGGCGGACTGGCAAGAACTAGTAAGGCAGAGGTTCGTAAATACAGACATTTGTATGATTCAGCTCTCAGAGATCACCGTGATCAACGTGTGGTTAATAATTCTTGGAGAGAAATAGCTCGCACTGTCGGAAAAGACGAAGACGCTGTTAAAAATGCTGGAATGCCATGTTTTAAACAACAGTTTTTTCTTCTACTATGGTGTAGTGTTAAATGCATGTCGTAGAACTCCATGCTGCCCCCTACAGTTTGGGAGAATATTGGCTCACCGCAGAGACAAGCCGTATGAACCATAAACGCTGCAAGTTGTGAAGCGCGTTCCATCCGCGAGCCGCATCACCAAGTGGAAAGTAAATGCGTCAAGCATAAACAAAGCTTTAGAGGAGAACCGCTGTGTCAGTACTTGAGAGGTGGTTCTATGCTAATGTTCCCTATTGTGACATCACAATAAGCAAACTTTTTAAATGGCTTGTAGAAGCATATAATGAATAGATGTTTTTTATTCACATTTGGAGTGTTTATAGAGGCAGTAAAGACCAGCATGGCAGAACAAAAGGAAAATGTGAGATTTGTTTAATATGTCCCCTTTAATACTGGTATATTTTATGACACTGTAAGTTTTCCACTGTTTTGCTAACAAACTCTTCTACTTAGTCCTACAATCACTTTCACTTCAAAAGGAAACTAAACATTGGCATGCAGACGTTTTCCTCTTCTTTTATGTGGTGTGTATTTCACAGCTGTAGGATGTATGTTTTTCTCTCAAATACCCTCAGAGTACATGTCTAAACTACCATGCATATTTTGTTTAGCTCAATTTTTAAAAAAATCCAAACTGGAAGTGAAGTGTCTTTTAACTTGTATTTCAGGAGCGCAGCAACTGTTTGTCTGGGGTCTACCTTTAAATTACTGTCTACCTCTTGCTAAATTTGTTGTCAGTGGGTAGGAGACCCAGGTGTGTGGTTTCCATGGTGACCTTAATGAGCCACTGACAGCAGCTTTAGAATTTATTTTTGGCTTTGGTTCTCTTTCTACTTCCTATTCACTTTTTACATCCAAAACTTGTTCTTCAGAAAATTTGTAGCAAAATAGTATTTT